GGTTTCCCTTGCCTACTATTATAAAATACACACTTAAGTGGGATAGAAAGGAATGTCAGCAAACATGATTACAGAAAGCCTGTAAGCCTGTCTTCAGCCTCTAACTGATTAGAATACCTAAAAGGGGTTCTAGAACTTGCCCAGTGAAATAGGCCTCTTGTGGAGACTTTGCAGTGTATAGGACCTTAGGTGGAATCCTAAGCCCCATTCAGAACCTTCTGAGTGGGACATTCCCACTAGAAAGGGCAAGCAGACCAGCCTAGAACAGCTTGAGCGACAGAAGATACATCTTCAAAGAAAGATCAGCAGGAAAAACACATAATAAAAATGGCAGTATGACTGGCTACTATAAGAATAAGTAAGTTGTTCACCGGGAAGCCACGAAGGCAAGCAATCAAGTCCTTTCAGGACAAACTCTACACTAAGACTGAAACTCAAAGGGAACACATGAGCAGGCACATAAGTTTGGTGACCACATTGGTCTATTGGTAAGTGGAAGAGGGGGAAAGGCAACAATGAAGAAATTAGCTGAATTCAACCATGTTCTACAGACTCTCATTGACCTGGAGATGAGAAAGAAAAGAGGAAGGGCTGGTTGGTCCAAAGTGTGGTGAGAAGTGCAGAATCCCCAGCCCACAGACAAGGATATAGCCAAAGAGGGCTAGAGCTGAGAGTGAAGCATCCATGAAGGACTTTGCACCTGATCAACAGAATGGCATTGCAACTACCTCAATTGACACTGAATGGGGTCCGGCCTGGCTTGAGCTTCCGAACCCCCGGGAAGCTTGGGTCTTTGTTACACCTGGAGACCCTCCCCCCGCCGCTCCCCAAACCCCAGATATTCCAGGTTTCAGGAAAATCTCCATACCCCTGCCCATTGTAAACTCTCCAGAACTATACCCAGACCACACGGACTATAAATACCCCAGTCTGTAAGGGAATAGACGGGCTCTTGGTCTCCTTTGGTGACGTAAGAGTACCCCCTCGCAGGTTTACTCTCAATAAACCTGCCTGCTGCTGAAGCCAAGACTCTCTCCTTTCGTCTCTTTCTTTTACTTACAATCCAGCTGTTAAGAATTGAGGGGAGACGCACAAGAACACCCAATTTGCAGATAGTACCTATTTGACCCAGCCTCGATGGCTTGATAATCAGAACTTGACTGGAGGAAGATAAAAAACAAACAATTTTTGATAACGGAAATGAGGGTAAATTGATACAGTTTGAACTTGACCTATACTCATGGAGGCAGTAGTTCTAAATACCAACAGAGGGAAAGAGTATCAATGCTATCCCCTCTGTATACAGAGTAGATAGGGACGGGCAACTTAAACACTGGCTACCTAGAATGAGGGGGCGATAAAGGCACAAAGTGACTGGCTTCAAGGTTTCAAGAGGGAGTTTAAGAGTGTGTGGAACCTATACTCAGTGCGGTAGTTACTCTAAATATCAACAGAGAGGGAAAGAGTCTTCAAATCAAGTATCAATGCTATCCGCTACCTAAAATGAGGGGGAAATAAGGGCACAAAGTGACTGGCTTACAAGGTTTCAAGAGGGAGTTTAGTTTAAGAGTATGGTGGGAAAGAAAGAGTTCCCACTGAATAGCTGTCATCTTGTCTAGATGGGTCTGGTGAAAAGGGATTGGGATAAGATTCGTAAAATTCAATAGTGAATAATTGTTATCATGACTAATCACAACTGTCACAACTGTAAAGGTAGAAGTTTTGTAACAAAAAAAGGGGAGTGGTTAATCTTACAGCCTAGAAACAGAGGACCCTAGGACCATCAATGCGGAACCTTATCTAGAGGAGCAGCAGTGCCAGAGATGGAGGCAGAGATGGGGCATGGAGAGGGGGAGCAGCTGAGGACTCTAGATTCATGGACTAAGAAGAGAAGGACTAAGAGCTGGTGGCCAGGTGCAGACTTGCGGAATGTGCCCTTTGGAGATGTAAATTATTATATATGCCTGAGTGGTTTTTTTGTTTTGTTTTTTAAAAAGCTTAA